AGGAAATGACTGGGTAGGAAAAGAGTCTTGCCTGTATTCTTTGGACTACCCCTTTTGGAGCCTGGGCCTTCTGCTTCCTTCATCTGCCCTTTTGTTCTCAGGGTTCAAGTAGTTCCTTTTGGTCAGCTATGATCTAAGCAGGGGATCTTACTAGGCAGTTAAGTGTTATCCTTAATTAAACATGTGCCTTCTGTTGTATCTCTTGTATTTTCTCTTCTGACAGCAGCCAGTTTCTAAATTCTTCCGAATCCTTTATCTTAGTTGTTTTTATAATTAAATGAAACAGCTTTAATGTCCCCTCAACATAGGTCCTTATAGATGCCCAAGTCTGGGCTCTACAGCAGCATTTCTCAACCATGGGGTTGCAACCCAAAAGTGGGTTGCAAGAATATATGAAAGGGTTGCAAACAAACTTTAAAAATGGATTTGAAACATGGGAAACTGTAGCTTTTCCCTTGCAGACTAGCAGAGTTCCAGCCTGAGAGGCTGCTTGGGGGTCCCCATGCCCCACACACCCTCCCACCGCTGCACACACTGGGGGGCTGGGGCAGAAGACAGCAGGTCAGGAGTGGGGGGCACTGGGTAGGGACTGGCCATCGATGTTTACAAATGGGTCCATGTACAAAACAGTTTGAGAACCACTCTTCTGCAGTATGGAAAGCCTGAGACAGGTTCTATTTCAGATATGGCACTGCTATTTAATGAAGAAATCACCAAGCAAGTCATTGGGATTTGCTCTACACTCAGGGCCGGATCCTATTCCACCTATTTGGCACCTAAATGGCATATAAGCACCTATGTGCAAGCCTATTCCACCCTGATCAAGTCCTGGAAAAACGCTGAACCCCTGCACTAATCTTCGTGAAACTTGGCAGGCTTCATGCTCTCAACGGTGGCTACCAGCCCTGCAAGTTTCATCCAAATCAGACAACAAACAGCAAAGCTATAGATATTTCATTGATTCCCCATTATGCCCTATGGCCGGTTCTCCAAGGCGGCTCTGAAGCTTTTCCAAAGCACTTTGGAAGCTTCAGAAAGCCTAAAGAAGCCAGAGCTTTGATCCGGACATGCTGCTTCAGATGCCACAGCATCCGAAGCTTCTCCAGATCCAAAGCACAGTCCAAAGCCTCGCACAGCCCTATTAGATATTAGGAAAAACTCTCACTAAGAAGGTGGTGAAGCATTGGAACAAGTTACCTAGAGAGGTGGTGGAATCTCCATCCTTGGAGGTTTCTGTGGTCAGGCTTGACAAATCCTGGGTGGAATGATCTAGTTGAAGATTGTCCTGCTTTGAGCAGGGGTTTGAACTAGATGACCTGAGGTCCCTTCCAAACCTAATTTTCTATGAAGTTTGTTAGACACCCCCAAAACATTCCTGTCCTTGTTAGACATGCTTGTGCTTTCACAATGGGACAGCCACGGCTGGCAATCCAGCAGGTGACTAGGCAGGCATAGCTTGTTGAGGGGAAATACTGCTAAAGCATCACAAGACGACAGGCTTGGGGAAGATATAAACTGACAGCAAAAAAGGAAAGCAAAAGAACTGTAGGTTTATTTTAAGATTATAAGAGGAAGGAAAATGGTGTTATTTGGTAGATAGACCAGGAAATTTGCTATCTGGGTCATGGGCTTAGTCTGTGCTCTGCCATTGGTATGCTAAGTAACCTCAGGCAACTTTTTTTATCCCATTTTCTCCCTTTGGGAAATAAGAACAGCAAGGTTTGGAAAATGTTTTGAGATCCATCAGTGAGATGCAGGGTGTTAATATAATGTTTTTGTGTGGACTAATTCTGATCTAATAGCATTTCCCTGCTATACCAGCCAGCCAATCAGACCAACCAGTAACGAATACAATTAGCAATTAAATATATTAGTTCCCTTTCTTTTGATTCTCAGCATTACTTGTGGCTTAGAATTTTGCAAACTTCCTTCAGATTCCTAATTAATGATCAATCTATTCCATTTAACTGAATATACAATAGACTGGTGTACCTTGGCCTTATTAAAAGAAGACTCATATAAGGAACATGGCACATGTCAAGAGAAGACTAACATAAAGGCAATATATTCATATTTTCCCTGGCATTCTCCAATCCATTAATAGAGGACTGTTATTATACTCATTAAAATCTTTTTTCTGTTGCTGATCAAAAGTTAGTTTATTCTATATAGCATTACTAGTCTTTTTGCTTCCTTATTGTTCTTCATATATAGCATGCACCATTTGAGGGACTTGATTTTTAAGCCAGATTTTTTCCAAGTAAGACCTGTTAATGAGCTAAAATGGTCATTTGCTTTTCATCAACACTGTGTCCAGTATTTCCCTTTAGCTTCAATAGAAATCCTTCGCATGAAGGGCTGGAAACAGGAGGTCTTGATTTTCTAGCCAGAGGTAGCCAAGTTCAGTTACTTCAGCAAAGCTTCTAAGGGCTCTTGCAGAGTTGGCATTTGCACAGTTCTTATCTTCCAAGTACAGTTATGTGTCATGAACATGTAAGGAAATAGCCAGTATAGTGCCCCTGCTGCATATGCTCTTATATGAGGTCTGTTTGTTTATCTTTCTTATTATACTCCAAACAGTTTAGGAAGCAGTGTGGTCTGCTGGATACCATTAAGAGACTTAGGGCGAAATTCTGTTTCACCTTTACAAACCTCAATGGCACGTATGCAGAGTTTAGATTCTATTTCCACTTGTGCCTTTGCCCAGCACTTTCCTTCTGAGTATGCTAGGAAGCTGCCGTAGGGTCACAAAGGCTCTGGGATGGAATACAATCACCTGGGTACACGTAACTCCCTGAAACTTATAGAAAAATTACAGCTACGGAGAAGGCTCCCTCACCTTTTAACCCAGAACCCTACTTGACCAGGGAGTGGGAAACCCAGATTCTAGACATCCCTTACCCAGAGGGAGTTTGAATCTGTATCTCCCCCTTTGCAGCAAAGTGCTGTCTCACAGTAGTTCTCAACCTTTTTTGGACCAGGACTCATTTGTAAACATAGCTGGTTCTGGCAGCCAGCACAGGAAAAGCCAGTTTCCCATGTTTTTCTCCTTTAAAGGAGAATCCATTTTTAAAAGATTGTTCATGACCCTTTCATATATTCTTCCAACCCACTTTTGGGTTGCAACCCATGGGCTGTGAAACACTATTCTATCAGACCATGGATGAGACACTGTCTGGGGCAGAGGCCCCCAAACTTTTTCTTTTTGAGTCCCCCCCTTCCAGATTTACCAGCTGCCCGCATACCCTTCCCAGCATACATTTTATATTTAAACCCCTTAAATGCTAGTTATTATTATAATGAAAATTATATCTGCCATTACACAATTTCTCCCATGTACCCCCCAGAAACATCTTTCATACCCCCAGAGGTAGTACAGTTTTGGAACCCCTGGCCTAGGGCACACTCTAGCCCTCCTATTGAAGCTGAACTTCCTCTTGAACTTGACAAAATGGGAACACATATTTAGGGCCAGGATGCAGTAAGCAAGCCAGAGGGAAAGAGACTCAGTGAGATAAGCACCATTCTGGAAGGGAGGGGGCTTGACCCCCTAAGCCCAGGTCCTTCTGAGGCAGTGCATACCTCAATGCCATGCTTTCTTATCTCCTAGCATGACATGTATCTTTCCCTCATGACTACCCAGTAGGCCATCTTCAAGAGGAAGGGTAGAGGGGTTCTGAACAGCTCTAGCCTGGTGGTGAGAACAGTGTGCTAGAAAATGAGAGTTGCAAGTCCAAACCCCTTCTGGGTAAGAGAACCTGGGTCTCCTACCTCCTGTAGAAGCAGAATAACTACAACGCTGCTGAGCTAAGAAGTAGGAGCCTTTGCAACAGTTTTGCTTCCAACAGTTACATGCACACTTTGGGTATCCTGTTCTACCAAAAGTGGAAGATCTGCTTAAGTGCCAAGAAGTAGCACTTACATGGCAGTTAGACACAGAAAACTGAGATTGGATTTGGCCCTTAATTTCCTCCTCTGCCACTAAGTTGCTGTATAACTTTGGTAAAAATCACTTCATCGTTCTGTGCATCTCTCTCCCCACAACACATACCTTGTCTTCTTTATTTATCTTTTAAGATTTTCCAGGCAGGATCTGGGTCTGTCTTTGCACAGCACCTACCTCCATGGGTCTTCTAGGCAATTCTGTCATACTGATCATTAGAAGTGTTCTCTAGGAAGTGCTCTGAGGAGATAACACACTGTATCCTTAAGATTATGCTTTGGTGTAGAGCTAAGACTGAGTTCTGCTTTATTCCTCCTAGAGGATGCATATACTGTTTCTGGAACCAGAGCCAAATTTGACAAGTGTTATTCTTTAATTCTTAGTCTATGCTGCTAAATGCATTTTCTGCATCTACTGATCCTATTCCTCTGGGTAGGGATGCTATTACACATTTCATTGTGTTTGCATTATTAGTTATTGTTCATGTCTTCATAAAATTCTCTGGTCCTCATTCTGCCTCTTAAATACATATTCCTGAAGCCTCATGACTGTGACTTTTAGCTAAAATCATGTTGTCTGTGTTTAGGACTGATACTTTAGGGGTGGGTTTACACACAAGTATCACCCAGGGTCCAGGGACTTGGAAGGCTGAAGTTGTGACTAATTCAAACTATATCCCTGGTGTCTCCTCTCCACATAGGGAATTCAGTGTTTCTGTGAATAGAGGGTCGACTATATATGTGAATTCTTTAAAAAAAAATTTTTTTAAAGAAATTCAGGCTTTTCTTTATACACAATGCTTTGTGCAGCTATCATTTCCTTTTCCCTCTTGACTTGTAGTTATAGGGCAACATAATTTATTTGGATACTCTAGTCTTCTCTTGAAAAGACACTTCAGAGCTAATGTTATAAAGTAGTTTCCTTTAGTTGAGTGGACTCTGAAGGTCATTGTAGGTTTTGGTTGGGTTCAATCAATTGATAGCCGATAAGTCACTAGTTTTTGACCCTCAGATACTGAAGTCTATTACTTCACAGACCAGACATATGCAATGCAAGCCTCCATATTACTTTTCTTTAATGGTGGCTTTGCAAGGCCATCTTTGCCATTGAAATAATCCAGATTTATATGGCCACTTTGTTTTAGTTACCCTTGATATGGTTGGTTAGGGCTGATTTTGTGACATTGATTTTAGTGATGTGAACACTGTAAATTGGTCAGATACCCACCAATCATTTTATAGGACCCAAAAATAGCTTTTTATCTGGATCCAGCTCTGTAAACTGATCACTGAAAACTGAAAACCTATCCTCGACACATCTAGTCTTCCTCCCTTTTCGGCTTCATTTGTTCAGAAGCTTTCACTCTTCTCCCTTTTCAGCCTGGAAGAGGAAATTTTTTTCACTGCTGGAAAGGCAACATTCTGCACTTGGCCACAAGCTGGGACTTCTCATGAGTTTACCATCATTGTAGGAGGGAGTGATTTCTTTTCAAAGTTGCCTTGTTTGAACAGCACTGTGATGACCTGTTGAAATAAATACATAGATTTTGACATGGCTAAAGTATATGGTCTTATATAAAATCATTCCAGAGAGAATTTAACCATTATTTATCCCCCTTTAACACTTTTCTTGGCAAAAACTAAACTTTTCATTCACTTGGCAGCTGGAAAAAAGCAGCTTTTTCCTGTGTGAAATAGCAGAATGAATTCAGAAATCTGTTCTATTTTTAGTCAAGTGCCAGATAATTCAGAGGGGAATACTAACCTCTCTGCTTAATATCTTTGTTTCCAGGATCTAGTTTATTTCAGTAAAACCCCATTTGCCCACCAGAAGTGACTAAGTTTAAAACATCTTGTGAAATATGCTTGTGGCCAAATACAGTTGAGGTCAAACTGTATTGTAATATGGCTGGTGTGACAGTTAAAAATGGAACAAGCATGTTAGAGAACTATGTTTTAGCCTAGGTGTATGAACAAGCATTAATTTTTGGTGGTGGTCTTTCTGGGAGAAGGTTCAGTACAGATGTTCTGTCCTGCAGCCACCCATTCCCTTCTACTCCCTACGCCTTCCCCAAACCAGAGTTATCTCAGTCTGGGGAAGCCATGGGGAGCGGTGGCTGCTCCACTCCTCCTGATCTCCAGGGGCTCCGGAGCAGTGGGGGAACACCCCAGTCTGGGGACTGGCTCTGAGTAGTGGGAAGCTGCTTCTTCTCTCCCCTCCCTTCCTGGTCTACAGGAAGGAAGGGAGCAGCAGGGCAGTGCTCCCTGCCCTTTCCATTAGGAACATCCCAGTTTGGGGAAAGACACAAAAGGAAGCTTCTGCTCACTCACCTCCTCAAATCACAGAGGAGCTGAACAGAAATACACAGGCATTCATTCTAGTAAGATAAAACTCACAGTAATTATTTTCCAGGTGTCCATCTGAACAGTCTTTATACCAGAGAGGGCATGTTTCCTCCAGGAAAAACAAAACAAATGCTTGTATGCTCCCAGTTTCTATCAGGCAGTTCTCCCAAAAGAAGTTTAACACCTGTACATGGCCTAGGTAGAGACCTACCAAAGTTGAAGCGGAAGTGTGCTGCACGGCATCTCCTTTGATCTTGCAGTTTCCTCTATGTGCCCCTGACCACAGTTGGTGGAGCGGCTCCACTACTCTCTGTTTTCTCCTGACTGGCAGGGAGGCAAAAACCGCTGTTTTAAGTATGGCGCAGTTTTGCTTTCTGGCACAATTGGCTGTGGGGCCCCAGCAGCCCCGCTGCTTGTTGCTGACCAGCCAGGAGGCAAAAAAACCAAACCAGTAGTTTTTGCCTCTCTGCTGATCAGGAGCAAACAGCAAGGCCCCTCTACCAATCAGCAGGGATGTGTGGAAGGGCAGCACCAAGAAAACTACAAGATTAAAGAAGCCACTATGCAGTACACTTCTGCCACAATTTCAGTAGGTCGCTATCCATAGGAATAAAAATCAATGTAGTAAATAATGCCCTGATTCTGCAATGGGAGCAGTGTAAGCAAACATTCATGTGAAATCCTGCTGATCTCTCGTACACACCTGGCTGCAGAATCAGGGCCTAAGTTTTTTTTAGTGTACAAAAGGCTGAAAAAGTAGTCCCCAAAGCTGTGGCTCATGGGCAACTGCATCAGGTGCCCACCCAGGGGTGGTTGTGACACCCCTAGACCCCCCTCAACATTTGTCCTCTTTACTTTGGAGCCATCTCCCCTTCAACCCCCTGCCACACCTTGATGTGATATGTCTTTAGAAGAGAGAGACTGCCCAGGACTCCCCAAACAAGATCTCACACTGATGACACCAGATGTCACTGCTCATCACCAAAAGGGCTAATTACATGGTGTTACCTGTCACCTCTGTGTTCCTGAGGGAACCCTGGCACGCAGCTTGTTGGACTTACAAAGGATTCCCCCCCACCCCCAGTTTAACCAGTACTCAGGCCGTACATTCCCTGGTCCCAGTATGGGAGGCCTATTTAAATTAGATTGACTAAAACTCAGTTGCCAGGTTAGGGAATGCTGAGGCAAGAGACCAAGTCATAAGGGGTATGGATGACATTTCAACAGTGGTTCAGGGTTCAGCACAACGTCCAGCCTGTTGCAGCCCTGACCACAAATGCTGTCATACTTTTCCCGGGATCACTGGTGGAAGTCCTCCCCACAAAGTTTATGAACACTCCAAGTAATCCCCTTAAGTCTGTTCCAGGTGCCCTTGGGATTTCCTGTTTTAGAAAAAGACCAAATCTAAGCTGAGGCTTATTCACAACAGGTAAAATACAAAACACTGATGTTGACTTCACAGTGTAAGCATAGCTAGGCCATCTGAGAAGAAATAAAGCAGTATCCCTTCCAGTTTATCAATAATTTCAAGCTGGCTCCTAGGTGTCTGGTTACTCCTTAAAACCTTATGTTTTTCCTGGTTGTTAATCAGTTTCTTGAGAGGTTCCAAACCAGATAATCCCTTGTCACTGAAAAAGGTAATTCATTTAAATTGAAACTGTTTAAAACAAATAACAGGATTTTCCCTGTCAGTTATGGCTTGGGACCCTCTTGATTTACACAATTAAAAGAATGCTTTGAAGAGGCTGGACTAAGGGTGTAAGAAAGCTGTAAAGCAGCAAACAGTGTGCTTCAACAGGGAAAAATCTCTCTGACACTATCCACTGTTGTTCTTGAGAAACTGGGATAAACAGATTGTCTATTTTTGTCACCTGTTTAACCTTCAATTATCATGTTAGGAACTTTGCCTGTTAACAAAACACCCAAGTGTCTTGGAGTGGTGAGATCCCAGTTCTTGCGCTCTCTCTCTCTCTCTTTCTCTCTAGGCATAGCTTTCTAAACCTGAATTTTATTAGTTTAGCTTGAGCTAGGTTTCCCCAAGTACTCAATTGAACCAGGGTAATATTGTAATTGTTTTTATTTGTTTTTTCTTGCATGTCTATTACTAACTAGTGCCATCATAAATTTCATATACGTAGCAGTAAATAACTTTTATAGTCAAATTGGTGGCAACCGGGTGTATTTTTCCTTCTCTATCTCCCCTTTCCCACTTGCTCTGTAGCAATGCTTCTTTTACCTAAGCCAAAGATCCCTGTAAAGCCCAAAAATACTGTGGGGTCCACTTGTCAAGAGGCTACCACTACTAGGACAGTTAGGGCAAAAGATTGGGATGTGCTGAGTTTGAAACACATAAAGGGATCAGCTTGTATAGGCTGATTGATCCAGTTTGGCTCAGACATGCCCTAATGAACTGAATACTGGCCCATGAGGGTGTCAGCTGGACACCCAGTCTGATTCAGAGGTATTTTGTTCACCTGCGTGCTTGTGTCTGACTGCATTTGATTGTTGCTGTGATGAACTGATTCCTGGCAGGGGGGTGGGTGGGTGAGTGTGTGTGTCTTAGGCCTCTCTCCCCTACAAGCCTACATACCAGGAACAATTTCCACCACTGCTGGGTGCCTTTGACCATCCCAGCCCCTCTCTGTATCCCCAGGCTCCCCATCCCTGTCAGTCTCTAGCTGTGGCGCTCCTTGGCCTTTTACCCCTATCCCTGGGTCCCTGGCCCCACTCCTAGGCCAGCTGAGACCTATGGGCTCCTAGGCCCTCACCAGCTGTGAGCCCCAGACTCTGTCTGCTCCCATCACTGCACCTGTGGCCCTGCTCCTGGGCCAGTTAAGACCTCCACTGCCCCTACATTCTTAATCCCTAAACCTCTTGCTTACCTCAGCTCTGGTGTTAATCAGGAATTTTGCTGCAGCCCTTCTGCTCAGAAGCTCTTCCATCCATGGTTCTCAGGGCTAGATTGCCTGGTCAGCTCAAGCCCTGGGTTTATACCCTGCTATCCCAGTCCCTTTTGGTCCCTGTGGCTCCTAACTTCCCCCTGCCACACCTGCAGGCTACTTTTCATGCAGCCTACCTTCTCTTAAAGTAGCAGGAACACCAAGCTTCCTGCTACAGCTTCATATTGCCCACAAAACTAAGTTGCTCATAAGAAATTTTGCTCCTATAAGGCATGTTGCTTCAGGTTGCACAAAAAGCAAAGTATAATGCTGTCTACAGCATATCACTTGCTCAGTATTGGTGCCTATGTGCCATGAAAGATTGGGAACTACTAAATAAAGTAATTGGAAAATCTTAGCCACCATAATAAGCATTTCCTTTGAAACTGCAAGCAAAAGAACTTATTATCCTTCCCTCCAATTGCCACATTTATGACTTAGGGAATATGTCCTAGGAAAGCCCAAAGAAGCATCAGCATTCCTCAGAAGGAATAATGACCATCAATGGTTCAGCTTTTCAAGAGTTTTTCTCTTTAATTTTACAATCTGACAATATTAAGAAAAAATGGGGATATTTGCAGAACAGAGCCTAAAAGATGGCAGCTTGTCTGGTAGTAAACAATTGAACAAGACAGTTTCAGCCCTGATGCAAAACCCACCAAATATAAAAGCCCTAAGGGATGTCCTGATCTGTGCCAGCAGACAAAGGGGGACCCAGACACCACAGCAAGGGCCAGGCGGGGAGCAAGCTGGTATCTGTATCACACAAATAGCACTAGTGCATGTTTTTGCAGTGCCCAGCAAAATGGGGCCCTGACCTTTTAGCATTATTATAGTACAAATAATTACATTTAATAATCTCACATGGAAGGGTAAGCAACATTGGTAGGCACCTGCCTAAAGTCATTTTCCCAAAAGACCTAGCACTTGAACTATATCATATCACCAGTGACTTTTCTCCACCCTCTACACACTTCATGCTTTGCACAATGTATTGTATGAGTGTAGCAAGTAATAGCAACAGCCCACATGAGCAACCAGCAAAGCCCAATGCTGATGCATCTGCAAAGGGTAGAAGAGTGCTCACTCTTTAAACTAGCTTCTTCCATGTTCTGATATTCCAGTTACATTTTGGGGCCCATCTGATCTCCAGGAGAAAACTTCAACAACTGGTGAATGTGCCATCAAGATTTTTTGTCTTCCACTAGGACTCAGGTGTTCTGTATACTGCCACATTGG